TGACATACAGGGATTATAACAACAGTTTTACATCTCTAAAGACAGAAAAAAATGAAGAGTTAAAACCACACTGTTGCTGTGTGCATGTGAATAATGTCCTGCCAAGTAGCTCAGCTATCAGTCTCAGTTTGAAAAGATTTCCATTGGTCCGTTGCCTGAGTAAAGTCCATGTGTGGGAAATACTGTGGAGTGGAGCTTAAGAAATGTCGCAGTATGTCAGCATTTATTAATGTTCATACAGAGATCTCAGTGGCTGTTTTTATTGTTCTTTGTAGAGCCAAATGATTAAGTTGATGCTGTGTGAGAAGCCAGAGGACCGACCTGAAGCAAGTGCACTAAAGGCAGAGATGGAACTTTGGGCTCAGACACAAAAAATGCATCAAATGCACATGACTGTCTGAGTATCACAAGAGCTTGTGAAGAGTCACAGGAGTGTGTATGGAGACCTGTCTCTTGATGTCTGTGATTTAATGAAATTATTTGATATACAGCTATTTTTTTAGACTGGTCAACGTACTGCAGTTCCTGTATAGCACCTTGACCTGAGATCCCTGTAAAGCACTTCACAAGGATTCACTTTCACCCAGGTACACACAAACACCTGTGGCAAAGGATGGCAGTTTGTAGTTTTGTCTTACTCAAGGATACTTCAACATGTAGACATGAAGTTACACCCTGTGAAAAGTGAGCCGCATTAAAGTGGAATCTAACTTCATGGGTTTTATGACTAGTGAGTGAAACATGAAATCAAACTATCATGATTTTTAATAATGAACTTTTACATGAGTTCACATATAGATTTTATTGTAAATAAACAGGTGGCAGGTCATTTCTGTGTCAACGGTTGACATTTTATTTTGTGCTGGGAATTTTAAAATGTACTTAAAGTGATGTCCCATTGTAGCCTTCACTTTGTACTGAATATGTTACGCTTGGAAATAAAATAATGGTTATCCTGGGGGATACTGTTTGCTTTTTATGTACAGGTGACATGTTGCTGCTGTTAGTACAAACATTATTTGGGAGTTCCCTCTGCAGGTGTTCAAGGAATGTGGGACATTATAGTTATGGCCAGAGAAACCAAGCAGGAGTTGTATGCTAAGCAGTGCAGGCTCCGTAGCTGTCACAAACCATTCAATCCAAGCTCTCTACAGCTGCTATCCTGTACAAACATTTTTAGAGCCAGGAGCATTACTAGACATAAAGCTCTACTAGGGCACAGGACCCTCATAACTCAAATCACAGTTTTTTTTTTCTTGAATGTTTATTGCTTAGCCCAGTATTTCACTGCCTGCTGCTCTTACAACAGCTACTGGTAAAAGTAAAATAGTAGAGATTAATCTTTATGAAAATATTTATTTCAACATACATTAAGAACATTATCAACATGGCATAAAGGTCTGGCCCTGTATTGCACTTTCTTTTGCATTGTTCTGCATTTCACAATAATAACTAATTTGTCTGTCAAGTAGCCTGTTAGTCTATCAACAAATCATGGATTTAAAACAATCAATCTAATCATATTTTGTAAAAAAAAAGAAAAAAGAAAAAAGCCACAAAACATATCAATTCTCCAATTATTTGGAAATTTTATTGTACAATGGATAGCTGGTGGTTCCCTGCACAGACATCTTTCTCCACACTTTCCCTTCCTGCCTCAGGTTCACTTGTTTGCTAAATGTCTATAAAACAAACATTTGGACTGTGTGACAAGAGCATCAGATATGTTATAGGCTATTCATTAAATGCAGAATGAATAGTCCAATGTTAACATAGACCACTGGGATGTACACTGACTGGCCACTTTATTAGGAACTTTTTTAGCACTTCAATGCAACATTCATCCATCAGATGTGTCATTTTTCATTTAGCTTCAGTAATAAAGTTCAGTAGGGCTAGAGACATGGCTTTGTGCATTTGGTTTATGGACAGTAGGGACATGTCCCTACCAGTATTTTGGGAGGACAAAAATGTCCCTACCAAAATTTGAACAAACGTGCTCAAAATAATGTGCCTGACTGACTGAAAGGGAGGGGGCGAGCTAATGTGCACATTACGTACAAATGTCATAGTGTGCTGATAAGGGTGCGTTAAACGTTAAAGTTCGAAGCTTAAAACAATCTAATATGTTGTAATAAAAAAAAGCCACAAAACAAATCAGTTCTTTGGAAATTTTATTGTACAATGGCTAGCTGGTGGTTCCCTGCAGACATCTTTCTCCACACTTTCCCTTCCTGCCTCAGGTTCATTTGTCTGCTAAATGTCTATAAAACAAGCATTTGGACTGTGTGACAAGAGCATCAGATATGTTATAGGCTATTCATTAAATGCAGAATGAATAGTCCAATGTTAACATAGACCACTGTGATGTACACTGACTGGCCACTTTATTAGGAACTTTTTTAGCACTTCAATGCAACATTCATCCATCAGATGTGTCATTTTGAGTCGAGTACCACTGCAGCATCTTCTCCGCCGGGTGTCAACAGCGGCTGTCCTTTCTGGGATGAAGCCTAAAGAAAACGTAACTTATTACACAATAGCATATGGCTATAACAGGAGGGGCCAAAAAAACATATTTTCATCTCCTTTAAAATAATCCAGCCCATCCTTCTATCATTTGTTTTGTTTTGGTTATGTGCAGCAGGCGGAGCCATAAGGTTAAGGGCTGTAATGTCCCCACTGTGCCAAGGGTAATGAAATATAAAACAATAAAGTAACTGGCATCTCTCTCTTTATTCCTTTCACTTTTTGTATGTGCATGTGCATGAACCTGCATCATTACCTACTGTAAGTTTATACTTGCATGTGGAAAATCGCTCCATCACACAGCTCTCCCAACATGCTTTTGGTGTCTATTTTGTGACTCGGGCTTAGAGATTTTCATAGCACATTGGGCTCATCTCCCAAATAGCTATCACATTAATACACTGCTCAAAAAAATAAAGGGAACACTTAAACAACACAATGTAACTCCAAGTCAATCACACTTCTGTGAAATCAAACTGTCCACTTAGGTAGCAACACTGATTGACAATCAATTCCACATGCTGTTGTGCAAATGGAATAGACAACAGGTGGAAAGCATAGGCAGTTAGCAAGACATCCCCAATAAAAGAGTGGTTCTGCAGGTGGTGACCACAGACCACTTCCCAGTTCCTATGCTATCTGGCTGATGGTTTGGTCACTTTTGAATGCTGGCGGTGCTTTCACTCTAGTGGTAGCATGAGACGGAGTCTACAACCCACACAAGTGGCTCAGGTAGTGCAGCTCATCCAGGATGGCACATCAATGCGAGCTGTGGCAAGAAGGTTTGCTGTGTCTGTCAGCGTAGCGTCCAGAGCATGGAGGTGCTACCAGGAGACAGGCCAGTACATCAGGAGATGTGGAGGAGGCCGTAGGAGGGCAACAAC